TTATACCCTAGTGTGTGACTTGATGCTTCATCGGAGTCTCATCTTACATCTAACAGCCGAACATACGTTTTATCACCTCTGTATGTTTAAGGTAAGCATAACGTCATATGTAGATATCTTATCATGGAATAGTAATTCGCTAAATTATGAAGGATGCTAAAACTGGTGAAGTAGCATTCTGAGACATCATCATCATCATCATCATCATCATCATCATCATCATCATCATCATCATCGTCATCGTCATCATCACCATCATTGTCATCATTGTCATCATTATCATCATCGTCATCATCGTCATCATCATCATCACCATCATCATTATTATCATCATCATCATCATCATCATTGTCATCATCGTCATCATCATTATCATCATCATCATCATTCTCATCATCATCATCATCATCATTATCATCATTATCATCATTATCATCATCATCATTATCATCATTATCATCATCATCATCATCATCATCATCATCATCATCATCATCATCATCACCATCATTGTCATCATCGTCATCATCATTATCATCATCGTCATCATTTTCATCATTATTATCACCATCATTGTCATCATCATCATCATCATCATCGTCATCATCATCATCATCATCAGGCTACTTATGTAACAACCATGTAAGAATAGTTTGAATCTTGTATCATCACAATGTTCTTTCGCTTGCTTGTATACAGCACTGCCCCATCAGATATTGTAACTCGTTTTACATTATATCTAATATATTGATATTTTCCTAGACATCCTTTTATTTTTTCATCGATTAAATACATGTTATATAATGATAAAACCGCCATAAAAGAAACACATTGATTTTGTCCAGCTTTGTATGGGAGTATCTTTGGTGTAACATGTTTACTATAGACATCAATAGTGTTACATTTGCACAGCCTTTCTAGCCTCAGATTAAATGTGTGAAGTTTCATTAGCTTAACAATACTGGCGTTAAACATTCGAGTCTATCATCTTCTCCTTATTATCAGAATTCATTTCTTTAATATGCACTTTTCCTTGTCATAAAGTTTCGTCATTAAATGAAAAGTGTTATTTTTGTTGTATATGGATTTGAAAAATCTATATGAAGGTATAACTTAATTGTTCAATAACCTGATAAAATATACAAGCCCTGTTAGATACGTTGTACGGAAAATGTTATACAGCTATATCACATTGCTAGTACATTTGTAGCTGACAATAGTAACCTAATTGACAATCAGATGTTTCAATACAGAACTTGCAAAAAAAAAAAAAAAAACAATACAGGGATATATGACATCCAGACATATTTGTGATATAGAGGGCGCATTGGATTAATAGCAGGAATGATAAAATCGTAACATGATACCAGCCTTAATGTAACCTAAGAACAAATGTTTTACTCGATCGTAGGGAAATAGTGTTCACGAGATGAATTAATTGCTGGTTTATTCATTTGTCGCTCATCCTATCAGGAGTATGTAAACATGTACATTGTTATGTAATGTTAAATAAGATCTTTCACAGCAAAACAGTAAAACGACAGAACAGTGAAATTGGTTACTTTGGGCTGAATGTTGTCGACAAAAATGAATTTTGAACATTAAAGTATGTGAAATGAAAATAACTTGATCTTTTGTTAGCTTAACGATAACTTAGGTTGAACAATACTTTAAAATCTCATTTGAAAACAAAAGAACCTATTTTCATAAGAAAGACCTACTTAAGAATTCTACAACATGTAGATGAAAAATTGTATTTTAGATACATAACATGGAGAGGGCAATCAATTAAAGTGCTTGTGTACCTAAGCTGATAAGGTTGTATATATTTAACTTCTGGAATCCATATTACTGCCTCTTTCACAAGGCGACGTGTGAAATAGGACACTCACAACAGGTAATACAAGACCGAGGGAAACAGCATAGAGGAAAAAGAGACGAAAGCTCGGGGCCACTAGAGATAACATACGGACCGGCTGAACTCATGGACATAGCCATATGGCTGGGGGCTGAGATGTTTACCGCTGATAACCCTATTTGCCAATTAGTAGTACACTGTACAGGGCTAACACCTGTCCGTCTGTTTATAGACTTAATTACAGAGATTATTCATACTCACCTTTTCTCCGATAACACGTCACCAGTGAAGAGCGCTTAACATTATATAAATATTAGTTTTTCGTAGTTTCTAGGGTTTTTTCTTCTGTTTGATAAATGAAAAATATATCTTTCTTCGTTCTGTTTACCTTGCCCTTGAAATATGGCAAAAGTAAACATTAATTATTATAAAACAAAAGACATTTAGAAAAACAAAGACTATTCCAAATAAACGTAGAACATTTTTATACAATGTTAACGTCTATGCTTGTTTTGTTCCTTACTAACTAGGAAGAGTAACGGCTTGCTAATGAGGGACATCGACAAATTACAATAGGTTTCATTACACTCTAATCATGTTTTCGAACGTCTTTATCTTGAGGTTTGATGTTAGAACTATATGAACGGAAGAGTTACATAAAATGTCTATAGGACCCAGTGCACGTTTTCGCTAATTGGGCATACTAATAGTGGGAACGGAGTTGGGGCCAACTTCAGGCATACGGATGTTAGTATTGATTTCGTCATCGATCTGTGGAGGCACTGTCGAGGCACACAGGTGCTACCTTTTATCGGCTCCCATTATCGACTATCGCAACATATGACACTGGCTTGGATTCGTCCAACAATAGGGGAAAACGAGGTGGTGTGTATGAGTGGGGTTATCTACTTCAGTAGTAGGCACTCCAATACAAACACCCTATACAAATGTACAGTTATACTCGTGCCGCGGTATGCAGACTCTCTGACGCCGCGCACGGTCAACGTTTCTTCCCCCAAAGAGGTGTAAAGAGGGTAGAGAAAAGATACGAAAGATTATTATTCACACTAAAGATATTATTTAAATAATTCAAGTGTTAGTCGTTTCTTTAGGTAGGGCTCTTTTCTGTCACGGTTTTATGTCTTGATTTTTTTTATAGAAGTCAAACTCCATTTTAATTGAAGTCACTTGGCTCCAATATTTTTACTTATTTGCATGAAATACTTTATTCAAGGCAAGCAGTCGACGCACATATATCTTCACCAGTCTTCTGTTGATGATTGAGCAATATAAGTGACAACTGAGCCTGTTTCACTATTGCATTTCATATGCAGAATTAAATTTATTGTAGCCTGACAGATGGTAAAACAATTAATGTATTAATAGAAGGAATGTAACACCGCGCACGAAAGCAGGCGTCAGAAAACCTGGAGCTCGCCATGTTTTGTGTCAGAAACTTGACGTGTATCCAGCCATTAGTGGAAGGCCTATACGGTACAGCATTAAGCACGTTAGACCTCATAACCTGTTACATTATGTAAATGAAACTCTTTTGCTGAAAGCCACTTTGCAGACAGGTTTTTGTTTTAGAGTGTGTGTATGTATTATGTATATATATATATATATATATTACACATATATATACATAGTATAAGGTTAGGAAAAAACACGATAAACCAAAAGTAGATAAATTAGTGTAAATATAGGGATATATCTACAGGAAAAATAGAATCCCAAAGCAACTTCTTTGATTACATAGAGTAGCTGTATTTATTTTGGGTCGAGGAAGTATTGGTGAAGAACAATATTAACATTACTAATTGGTACAGTCTAACTATCCATTAATATGTTTCTCTGCCTGATACACTCCCGTGTGCCCAACCATTTGGTCTTTATGTTACCGGTGTTAAATATTTAATTGATAATTGTCTGAAGTATGTTATCGGATACGATCTCAGTATAAACAATACAAAGTATCGACATGGACTCATATCTCTCGGTGTTAACCTGTTATGTGCTCTCGTAAGTATCCATTACTTACCTCTTGAAGTAGGGCTACACCTGGTGAGTTTGCGAATTATATACACAGGTGAAAAAAACACAGGTAACAGAAAATGTTTAATATAATCATTTACTACAACGCATTAGTAATAATTATTACCGCAACTATTAAGGACATACCATCGAATTAATTATTTAAGCACATGATTATTCTATGTACAATTTATTAACACGTATTATACACATTTAAAACAGAACCTTTTAATTTGTACTATAGCAATTTACGTCTCATGTAAAAACATTGGCAGTTGGTGTCAGATATAATACCTTCAAGTGTTAATCTTTATCTTCATTATTTACGGCTGCTCAAACCCTTTAATATTGGTAAGAACATTTAAATCCTTACCATTGTTCATGTTTATAAAATATGAGATTAAAATAAAAGTGTTTAAGGACATAACTGATATTCTATCCTGAATATGTGCTGAGGTTACTCAAGAGCACTCAATGGTGTATTACAGTAAAGATTGGCTTTCGCCCCCCAGATGTGTTGGCGTATTAACACACAAATCCTCGTAGAAATACTTTCACGCGAACCTAAAATCCTCTTACTTTTTCTAACAAAAGCAATGGCGAGAAAGAGCAGTATTTCTTGAGCCTTAGGCGAGAGATAAGGTAACCCAACCTGGCGACTTCGGAAATCATCATAATCTCTCATCTTGTTGACGGCGGCTAATCCGCGCGGCAACATTAACACTTCAATAAAAACATTTCTTCTTTATTGTCGTGTGTCTCACCCCGTGTTTCACAGTGGACTCATCCACTAACTGAAACATATTGAATTTGCCCAACAACTAGCAAAAACCTTGTACGCAACCACCTGGCGAAGCTATTATATAGGTGGAGTATTAAAGGCGAATAAAACACCCGCTTTCTAATTTCCATATTCTAATTACTTTGAACAGATGAAACCGTACAAGTACGGCTGACTACGACGGTAATGTAGATATATAACAGTTAGGTTTGTACCGCAGCAGTGGTGGACCCACACAGCCCACGTCTATATCGCCTCAATTGCCGGTATGAAAGATAGCCATCTGAATAAGATTAGTCAATAAATAACACGCATCCGAGGAATTCTTTAACATTTAACATCTGGCCGACTGTATGACTAGGTCGCTGGTGTAAACAAGTTGGCGCTGTATAGACCGAGCCACACAGCACAGCGAGACGATCAGTCAGTCGTGTACTAGCGCCACACAGCACAGGATGACTACTGCCTCGTCCACCTGTAGTGGTGCTTACCCTCGCTCGCCCTCCCCGGGGGAGCTTAGTCCGGATCCCGACACTCACGGGCGCGTGTTGGATTCTAAGAAAATGTTTCAAATATCGGATGTTAATAGTTCACCTATGAAGAAAAACAAAAGGAAACGGAGTGAACCAAGGAAAAGAACGGACTTTAGTATTAAACGGTTTTGTCCAGATAGTCCAGGAGGGGGTAGTGCTGGGTCAGAGAGTGGTCGGAGTAGTGAGGATGTTCAGGAGGATCCTCCGGACACTCCTGATCGGTCAAACACTTCATCTGAACAGGAAGTTTCCTTACAAGGTCCTAGTGATTCTAACATTACACCACCTGTTGTTCCTCATGGGATGTTTCTGTTTCCTGGACATTTTCCTCCCAATTATCTTGTTCCTAATCTTCATTACAAACACCCAGCTTTCCTCCCTAATGGAACTGGCTACGGTAGGATGGATTTAATTAATAGTGCTAATATTCAAAGGGATTCTCAACAACAGCAACGTCAACAGCAACAACAACAACTTCGTCATCATGAACATCATAACGAGATGGAGGAAAATCAGGATTACGACGAAGATGACTATATGAACGATGGTAATAAAAATGGTAAAAAGACCAGAAAAAATTATAAGAACATGACACGAGAAAGGCGTGTGGAAGCAAATGCACGTGAAAGGACAAGAGTTCATACAATTAGTGCAGCATTTGACAGCTTACGCCGGGCTGTCCCGTCGTATTCTTACAATCAGAAACTCTCTAAATTAGCAATTTTAAGGATAGCCAGTAGCTATATCAATGCTCTGGGTAGACTTGCGGACATTGACTACAGCAGTAGTTCTAGTAGTACTGCTTCGTCTCCAACTAATAGTGATTTGTCCTTTTCCGAATTAGTGGATGTGTGTACTCGGACGATACAGACAGAAGGACGGGCTAGACGCCGACACTAGTCACAATATAAGTATGTATGGTAACACAAGTGGGTGGAAGAGAAGTACGAGGAATGTATGTTAGGTTTGCATCAGACAAATAGATATGGATTATATTTACAACACAAGTAGATATTGGGAGAGAAAGGGGAGCTAGATGGAGCCGCGAGGCCGCCAAGTGAACACCTCTGTGCTAGGGAATGGAACATCTGGACAACATGCTTCTATGTTTAGCAGACGACGTATTCTATATACAAGTGAGTAGGAACCACCGACTGCTGATCCTAACTGATAATGTCCAACTAGATCCCCAGATGGCAACACGGCTGTATAATCTGATAGCGGCGCTTTGCGCAGAGGATGTGTATGAAATGGTGTAGAAACGTCATTTACGAGGGGTGCGCAATGCAGAACCTGTGTTGAAAGCTAAACTCTGACGCTGCCAAATTTTCGACATCAAGACTTCGCCAGATGTTTTGTTTCTTGCGTTTCTGTGATATTTTTACATTTTACTTAAGTCCTACCTGTTTTTGATTTGAAATACTTTATTTCTATATGTGAGTAAAGAAATAACTTTTATGTTCGGGAAGGAAACAGCTGAGATTTGGATAGATCTTTATCGATAAGAATTAATTACTGAGAGACGTCTCCCGAACATGGGCTGTGAACTGAACAATATGTTAGCTTCTAGAAGTCGAAGTGTGTTCAATGAATTATTGATTCAGTTCTTAGTTGATGTGTGTTTTGTTAAATGGTGCTAGATTAAACGTACAAAACTGCTGAATATTTAATGAATTCGTCTTTTTTCCCTTCTGCAGATGTTTTTTTTTATAAACGATTTAAAACTAGCACTTTTGGCTTAGGGTACAATGCTGATACCTGTGATTGCTATAAAAATAATACTTTAGCCATTTCCAGATTATATTTCCATTTTTGTGATGATACTGTTTTTTTTTTCAAAATTTCACTTTCCGATTATACATGGTATTTCCTTTTTCATGACGATGCTATTTTTCAACATTTTTTAAAAATATGTATACTTCTTAATAAATCAATTTGTTGAAATGAATCATCAAGATAAATTTTAAATATAAAAAAAGTCTTGAACTCATTCTATAGATATCCATGATATCATGTGAAATGTTTCCTACGCCTTCTAACAGGTGTTTATAGCAATCAGAACGTACCCTCTGACACTAAGTGTTGATTTCACCTCGGTAGACAGGTGCGCGGTGTCGACCGTCAGATATCATAGGTATTACCTGTTTGCACCTGTAGGTTATTTCCATAAATGTCTCTACCTGGTCTTCAGGTAGCATTGTCAGATTAATTAACCCCTAGATTGGTGATAATATTCATAATAACGAACATAACAGAGCATTATCAGAGACGGTTCATTAACAATATAGTAACACCAAGATTGCCAACATTTGGTATACTTAAATTTCACTTTCGTGAACTTTTAAGTGTTTAACTGCTTGCGATGACTGGGTGAACATGGTCACTATTGATTAATCAGCTATGTCGTATTATGCAACGCAGAAACGCAATTTTTATTTTACCTTAACAACATAAACTTGATTGATATGAGCTTGGTATATAACCTTGTTAGAAAAGTATTTTTCTGGTCAGAAGAATTGGTTTTAATGTTCACTAAAGTTATATGGTTTTGGCAACCAAAATGTACAAAGATAAGTTTTGTTGAAAATTTATTTATGATAAATTAGAATAGTAAATTGAATGTAACACAAAATTAGCTTAGATTGGGATAACTAAGATTAAATTGAGAGAGGTGTCTTATCAACAGTGAAGACTCAATTTTAAAAAAGTGATACATGTAAAAGAAATTATTAATGAAGATTATTGGAGGATCGATTTGTTGGATTAGGTCATTCAGACAAATGGGAATTTTAATTCACTTCAGATAAATAGAGAACTTGAATACCAACATATGGTGAGCCTGTCCCACACAACGTTGATAATTCACAGACCTATTAAATGATGCCTGAGACATGTATAGAATACCATGTTGTCTAAAATGAGACAAAGACAAGACGGGAGTCACCTGGTCGACACCTTCCACAGCTGCCTGTGTCCGCTAACTCCTTTTTACGTTCAGTCACTGTAAGCCAGGTTGTGTGCAGTCCTCTTTGTTTGTCACTTTCTCTCTCCTGGACAGCAGGGATGCAATCAAGCGTGACGGATGCACACCTGGACTATAGTTACCGGAGGCTTCCCATCTGTAACCAACAAAGCAAAGAGAACAACAATGAAATGTTGGATTCATAAATCATTATTCAATGACTACATCTGGCTAAGAAATCATAATGTTCATTACAATATTTTCTCCAAATTACTTAAAAAGCAACATAATAATCATATTACCAAGTTGCTTAAAGCTGGGTAAATTATATACATTTCTGGAAAAGGAATCATTGCAGTAAATTTTATTTTACATTTAAAGATAAAATGAACTACTTCTTTAAAAGTGTTTCAAAATTTGCAAAGAAGGATTTCAACCAAGAGTCAATTGGCAATGCTTATATAATCTGTGAACGGGGTTTGTCTCCAGAAAAAAGAAGTGATTGAATTTACACAATTGAAAAAGGGCATTTGAATGTATTCAAGTGACATTCAATTAATGCATTCCAGCATGTCTCAGTGAATAATAATTTCTAAATACGGGGGTGGGTGGTGTAAAAGTCTCAGGACTGTCTACTCTTTAATCAAGAAACCAAAAATTGGTAAAGCATACAAAACCTGAAACAATAGTAACACCACAATAATTCGTAATATATTTATTTAGACATGTACTCGAAACTTCTCGACCAGTGCTACTGATTAAACTTAAATACCTCCTAAGCGGGTATTACCTGGCCATACCTAATAACACTTGTACACTCATACACAGATAATGCGGTCTAGGTACGTGCTCGAGGGATTCGTTTTTATAACTTAACCACTTTGGTTGTGCATCAGTCGTTTTGGAAACACCTGTTGTAAAAGTGTTAATAACTATGGAATATTTAAGCAGGTATTATATAATTATAACATATAATATATATATATATATCCTGTTTTACTACGTTCCGCACTACCTCGTACAGAAGTCTGTCTTTAATTAATCTCAGTGTCAATACTTTGGTGTAAGTGTGTGCAAGTTGTTGTATGCATAAGAGATATAGTTGTGGGTCTTCACTGTTCAGCGCACGTTAAAACCTGTCTAGCTAACAGGTGGCAATAACTCTTTATATTCTAACAAGAGCCGTATATTTACCTCTGGCTTCAAAAGCCCCGAACAAACACGAGGTGTCTAATGTCATATGTAATATAAACGGAATCAGACATACCGGAGACAGGTGTTTATCTCGTGGTTTTTATGACTGCCACCTTTCACCAGATTTTACCTGAGGCGACTGGCACGGATCACCTACGCTTTACGCTTAACTATCTCTCCTACATTCAATTTAAACTAAAAATCCACCTATGTGAAAGTAGCTCTTATAAAGCGTTAGTTTCCTCAACATATATATAAGAATAGGGAAAGTGACAATTAAAATGATATTTGAAAAGTCTGACTGCTGTGAAATTTGACACTATTTGTGAACTAGCCGTATGTGGGTGTTCTGCGCCAGTGCCCCTGGGAGGTGTATGGTTTCTAATTATCTCTCTCGTTACGATCGCTCTGGCGCCGAGTAGACCGAGCGCTATTCTGCCCTGCCGTATATAACTGAGTGCAGAGGCATTGTTAACACGTGCTGAACATGCAAGGTAAGGTCTCCCCGTCAACATCCCCAAATACCACACACCACCACACCAAGCAATAAGGTCATTTGAATGTAGCAAGATTGTCGCCAGTGGTCGATCGACTTGTTGAATCGAAACTGCTCCTTGAAAGGGGCCGAAAGATTAAACCTTTCAAACACAAAACACATGGTTTATGTCAGCCTTCCCATTTACTATCCCCAGTTATGTTAGATAGGTGAAGATAAAATAGCTATCTTGTCGTTCAATTAGGCCGTTAATACACCAATTAAGAATTTATCGAGTAGAGGATTGTAAGAATATGTTTCCTGACATGTATGAAATATTGCACCTGGACTAAAAAATAACTATGATTAAACTGTTTACATAAATAAAATGAATTTTAAAGAAGCACACCTTAACAATGATGTATATATACAGCAGCATCTCGATTTAACGCCGCGCTATCTAATGACGCATTCCTTACTTCCAACGTTTCCCATTTTGTTTAATTAACATTTTAAGCAAGGTCATTGCACATATCGCTCAACCTTAAATCAATTGACATCAAATTGCTTTATGTTACTAAAGTTTGTCTGAACTAATAGTGACATTAGACGGAGGTTTTGCTCTAACATGAAATGCATTTTGATACATAACATGCAGAACTAACTATTAACTTATTCATTATAATCAATGATTTCTTAATTTTCAAGCATGGGCTGTGCTCAAACATTTTACATTTTGAATCACTGACTTACAAATACTAAATTTAACTGTATCCTGTAGCCACATAACATTCATTTTTCGTATGTCGAAAAATGAATCTTAAGAAATGATGTCTGTTCTTAAATCTTAAAAGTATAAGACGCGTTCATGACAATACATTCAAAATTTAATCGATAAATGTCATCTACAAATCCGGTAGCTATATTTGATATTATAAGGTTGGAATGACTTCTCCAAGAGACATTCAAGTGTAAATGTAGACGTCGATCAGCATAGATCCATTAAGTTAACTCCCCAAAGTGATAAATTATCTATAGGGCAAAACCTATATCATCGCTGTGAAACTAATGCCAAATGTTCATGGTGTCAGAAGAATGGGTTTGTTTTTACACATATGTAATGTACATTGCAATTCACCTACAATTGAAAATTGATGTTGTGTTCTACATGACAGGATATTTTCGTAATATTTTGTAAGGTTTTAAATTATAGTGTTTATCATTACATAAAGTTAATTTCTTTTTTTGTCAACACAGCTAAAACTTTATATGATATTTTTTGTAGTTCTCCATCAAAATATTTATGAGACGGTCTCTGTAAGTCAGTTTACGGAAGAAAGTTGGTTAGTCGCTCAATGTTTGTCTCTCTTTATGAAGATATCAACATAATACAACTAGATTGTCATTATAAAGTGTACCTTCGATAACATACTCTTTGCCCCCTACCTATGGTGTTTACATGTCGCAGCTGATTCGATATTCAAGTGCTTGTTACCATTGTCACGATATACTTGCACGATACCGACAGCTGAAAGATTAACTCACAATAAAAGGTTTCGAGAGATGATGAGTTATGAAGACTATGGAGAAGTTTTATCTTGGAAAATATTCTGTTTCCTTGAACGATGTCAAGTTGGATGTCTTCAATACTCTCAAGCATACCTGGTAGATCTATTGTTTGTATTGTTATCATTGGGAACGAGACATTACGTAGTTTTTATTTACACATTTGACAAAAAACTTGCCAGCTAGACCTTCGTGATATTTTCCATGCATATTTTACATGACCATAGTGAATCCATCAATGGGTTTTTACATGTGTTGATGGAAATAGTTCATCTTCAAGAAAGAAGTTATTGTCTTTAAAATGATGTAGATATCAACTGGAAATGAATACAAATTAGATGTTGTAATGCTGTTAGGGTTTCTTCCTTCCTGTGTAAAACATGACTGACGATGGTTTTTTCATAAATAGTGGTTGTGTTGGTGTTAAATGTTTATCGATCGCTATCTACTTGGGGAAAAATACACATT